GTGCACAGAACAGCGCAATTTGAGGTGGCAAGATGGCGCGGATATCAAGAAACATAGCATGCATATAATTGCTGTTGGCACGTCAACACGTCCAGTAGTCGTAACAAAATCGTCTCTAACTTAAGGTGCGTAAGATGGCCCTCGATAAAATGCATCGCAAATGCCACTGTATAGGTGGTCTGACTACAAAAAGCACCGCTTGCTCAACATTTGGAGGCGTGCGGCAAGATGGCGCGATTAGCTAATCATAGTGAAGGGGTGGCGCTCATGTGGTTACATCAAATCGATGTCGCCAATGAGTACGTGTTCCCAACCTGGAAGCCTCTTTTTAGGGTATTGTGCAATGGCGAGGGCTAGGTAAAGGAAGCGCAGGTCCCAACTCATCTGCTCGCACTATACGACACTCGCTCGTGTCCACGCTTACGCACCTAAGGATAGACGTCGGTCTGGGTAAATTAAAAATTACGTGGGGCAAAGATTTCGGTCGAAGGGATACTCTATGTATATCGTCGCTTGCATACAGTCGATGGAGAGAAGCTGGTCGAGTCTCCACCGGGGTTTTATGTTCGTTCGGAACCTTGTTAACGAACGCTTCTGCTTAATGCGCCCAACGAGGCTAAACTGCACTCAGGAAGTTTCTCCGAAAACCCTACACGGTCAAGCCGTAGGTCCAACACAACTCTGATGGAGTTGCGCCAGAAGTAGTAGGGATCGCACATGAGCGCAATCGTTCCGACACTAGTTACTCCAGCCATTGACTATGAGCGAATGAAGTGCGACTCGGAGATGTGAGTGGACTGGGGGTCCGATCTTACCCACACTCTACATATGAAGTGGTGGCAATTATCGGCGCACGTGAAAGGAAGGCCTGAAATGGTATAGGAGGCGCGCGTTTCGTCGTGGAAAAACGGCTGAAGTCCTGCAGTCCTTGCTAATGCCTTGTCCCGTCACGGTTCATAGGCAGCCGGCGCGGTACTTGGCATTCACCTCGACGCTTCCATGCGTCGAACGGAGCCAGCGCTGCAAGGCTGAAAACTCTCAATTATACTGTAGGATACCACTTGACCTCGGTGGCCTCGTGGCAAAACTCCACTTTTCGCAAGTTTGTGCGGTTTTCTCGTTTCGAGCACACGGTTTGTAAGATAATACGGAGGTCGGATCTCGCAGTAATTCCGTCTGTTTAGACCTGGTTGTGCGAATGTGAGGGCCAATATGTGCTTTACCTTCAGTGTAGTGGTGCGGCAAGATAGCGGTGTGCCGATAAATTGATAGATTCTCGTCCTCTTGCAAGAAACCTGGTAGGTGCAACGAGATTCTGGATAGCAGCTTTCAGGATTGAGTGTGGCGTCCCTGTCCTTACGAAGGCTTTCTGCTCTCCTCCTATAGCACGCAGGCGCTGTAACGTACTTCTACTACGATTTTCTGAGTGGCGAGGGGGCGTCTTGCTTTCTTGCGCCCGCTCTCCCTGTCGCATGCGCAATCTTTTTTCATTGCATCTGGCGTTTCCACACGGCCCTTCACCTCGCCTCCGCCGCTGGATCTTATATGATCATTACTCACACTCTCATCTCCTGCTCTCCTTTCAAACGCGGTCTTCCAGAGTCTTGAGGGTAATCCTTCGTCTTTGCCTGTTTGGACTCTTGAATGAATGAGAGTGAATGGGGGCTGTTGATATTAAAAATTTGGTCCGCCTTTCCCTAGATCCCTACTGGAGGTATGTCGTGGGGCTCAAGTCCGCCATGAGACGCATGCGACAGAGGAGCATAAATCCTTACAAATGGCACCATGTGTTGCAGCACCTCCGTTCCCTAGGAGTCTCAAAGTCCGGCGACGGTCGGACTGCGGCTAATTTCTTTAAAATGTGGTGCCATTGAATGAGAAAAAAAAGGAAACGCTTAGATCTAGAGGTTTCGTTCTGTCTGTTCTTTACCCAGACACGCAATGCTGTAGGCGAAGGGAAGAAACTACTTTCTCCCGGTATAATCCTGTTGACTAAGTCCACGCTCTACCGTACGACGTCGCTTTGTCACCTGAAACACAATATCAGGTGAAGCTAAGCCCTTAGGCGGGTGTGTCAGCACGGACAACCTTATCCAATGCCGTAAGTCAGCGACAAACTTGACAATAGACTTAAAGCTCACTGTGTTCAGGAAGAAAATAATAGTTTATGTTGGTCGATTATGTTTTACCTCCTCCAACGGTGATGCTTGTGCAGACTTCTCATAAAATAGATTTTCGAGTCGGCACCATCCTAGTCGGACTTTTATTTCTCCATGCAAGAAAGGGCCTTACCTAGGATTCATACTCCTAATTTGGAATATGCCCTTATCCTTTTACACCCCACTTTGCGTTGTCATCAAAACCAACGTGAGGATGCGTTTTCACCATCCGGCCGAACTGCCATAAACGACTGCACGAGTACAAAAACCTGCTATACTGCAGCCCAAGAGTTAGGCGTACTAACAGTAGTTCGGGATTCTTCCTTTGCTTGCGGACGATTGTGCCAGTGACTCTGCGGTTCTCCTCATTACACGAACCATGGACGGTGTTTTAGGAACCAGATCTAAAAACGGAGTAGCAACATTCCGAATTCCAGACCTAATCCCAGATACATCATGGCCGGACGTATCTTCCGCTCCGAGACCGGCCTTACTAGAAAGTTGTACGGACCGAAGTAACTCAACATCTCTTCTGGGCCGAAGTAACTTTACCATTCCTAAACCGGAGTAACTTTCTTACTCTTGGACCGGAGTAACTTTTACATTTCCATTGGGCCTTTCTATCCAGTCCTTTATACTTTGGGTCATAAAGTCCATCTCTGTAGCTCGGCCCAATTTTTACCAAAAATTACCCTCTCACTAGGTATGGTGGTATTTTCTAACTAAATATGGTTGATTACAACTGGAGTCTACTGTATTATCTGTATCAACTAGTGATATTGAATGAATTGCTTTTTTTTTTTATATATATTTTTTTATTATGAAATAGTTTATAAGCTTAATAATGTTACTCCATTTCTTTTATGTCCAGAGCTCGTACTTGTCAGGATATCATAATTGGTCATTGTTTATGGAAAGGAAACTTGAACCCTTCCCAAATAGATTAGAAGGGTTTGTGATTTAGCTTGTTTTATTTGCTTATAAGATGATGTGGTTTCCCTAATTATTGTATTTTATTTGTTTTACTAATGTAGAAAATGTTGACTCCCAAAGCTTATCTACGAAGGAAACTACCCTCTTTCCAAGGAAAAGATTCTACAATTTCATATCAAAGAAAGTGATCCTTACAACCCCCAGAAGCAGCAGTCCCTCAAATTCTAATGGCAGTAAAGATGAATCCTCTGACCAAGCAACGGCATGTATAGCCAACTAGTGATTAATGAAATTAAAGTTGTTTATTTCTTCTGCACCTTGAGTATAAAGTCTGCCTGCTAGCTTCTTGTGTCATGAGCCAGAAGAAAGGCTCTTTTAGATATTTATATTATATTTGTAATTATATATATTTTCTGGTCTAGCGTAAAATCTTAAATTGCTTTACCTGCAATATCTTGCTTCACTTGCTGTTTATAGTTTATCATTGATTAACTGTACCACAAAGTTGACTTAGAATTTATGTACATGGATGTTTCTTTCTTCTTCGGAGGGGGTTGTGTAGGAGGGGTAAAGCATGGTACGACTACAAGATTCTCACCTACTGGAAACATATTCTGTGAAGCATTTTCCTATGCTTCTAAATATGTCCCTTAAATTTATCTCTATACGCACCACATGCATTATAATTCTTGTATGTTATGGAGAAACTCTTGTACAAATAGTTGATAGAAGCTCCCTCCTATCCTATCAGCTATTTGTTCGCTTGACACTTAAAAAATCTTATATTTGCTGTCATGGATAAGTTTTTGTCCCTGTGTTGCACTTGCTATGCTATGTGCTGGTGGTATTAGCGTGTAAGGTTCCCAATTAATGCTAAAGAATTATTTACAGCAGTAAGTTTAGCGAACACTGATGATAGCTGAAAATTTGAGGGATTGGACAAATATGTAGATTATATTCTATGTCCAATAATCAGTTGCCTAAAACTGCAACTCTATAGAATTTGAATGCTTAATGGAAGACTAATCTCATCATTGCTGAGCTGTTTAGTCATTTGGACGTAAGTAGTCACATCAGTTAATCTTACTGCAGACACCATTCGGATACACAAGGAAGGACGTTCTATTGATTGGACTTGGAGTTACTTTGGCTGGCATTGGCCTGAAAAGTGGATTGGAGGTATGAAGTCTGTGTTCTCTCATATCTTTGCTCCAACTTCTTTTTACCCTTGCATCTTCTTTTTACTTTTGGAATTTGACTCCATTCTTTATTCATGGAATAGAATAGACTCAATTGTTAGATACAATTTGACAAACTATCTGACCAATTATTTGGTTGGATCTATGTGTTTAGTTAACTCAATGAAATACACAAACGAACTAGATATCATTAGTTTGCAAAAAGGGCTCTGAATCTACGAGAAAGATAGAACCTTAAATCCACGAGGAATAGAAATCTCTTAATATGATTGATCAAAGTTGCTTTACATTAGGTATTTATAATAAGCAGAGTCTTGGAGTCAAAGCAATTTAAAAATTAAGAAACAACCAACTAGCCTAATTCCTGGGAAACAAGTAACCTAAAATTAGGAAAACAAAATCAATGCAAATTATCTAATAATTCTAGGATATTCATACCAAATTACAATATTCCTAATAAAATACTAAAAATGAAAATATAGAAACTTCTAAAATCTTGTCCTACATCATTAGTAATGCTTGTAATATAACAATTTTTGTTTGCAATATTATCATATTCGAGCTGGAGAGAGGAATTAAAAGTTCATAGTATTTCCTCGGATGTGTACATGGAATGTGTGGTAATAGTGCATTAATACCCTGCATACCAAGTGTTCATTTCATACTTCCATTATGTAATTGGTCGTTTTTTGCTGTCTTATGCAGCTTTTTGGAGTTGATCCCTTACAAGCTGGGAATGTTGTTCAGTTGGTCCTAGTCTTGGGCCTAACTGTTGGATGGATTTCCACATATATCTTTAGAGTCTCAAACAAGGAAATGACTTATGCTCAACAATTACGTGACTACGAAAGCAAAGTTATGGAGGTGAAGTTTTTTTTTTTTGTTGTCATATACTGCATTGCTCTTGTTTTCTAGACATTACATGCATATTGTATTCAACATATAAACCAAATCAATCCTTAAGTCCCATCAAATGGGGTTGGCTACATAAATCTTTCTTCTCTATTTGACTCTATCAAAGGTCATTGCGTTAGTCAAATTAAGGAGATTCATATCTCTATTTACTACATTACCCCACGTCAATCTAAGTCTGCCCTTTCCCCTAACACTTTCATTTACCATCACTACATCGCATATTTTCACTATTGCCCCTGTTGGTCTCCGTTGTATATAACCAAACCATCTCAATCTATTCTCTCTCAACTTATCTTCTATCAGTACTACTCTTACCCATTCTCGAATATACTCATTCCTAATTCTGTATTTTCTAGTCTTGCCACACATCTACCTTAGCATCCTCATCTCAGCAACACTCATCTTATCTATATGTTGTTTCTTAGTTGCCCAACATTCCGCCCCATACAACATCGCTGATCTAATAGTCATTCTATAGAACTTTTCTTGTAGTCTAGTGGGTACTTGTTTATCGCACAGTACTCCAAATGCACTCCTCCACTTAAGCCACCCCACGTTAATTCTATGAACCACATCCGCTTCAATAGGGATATCATTAGGTCTTAAAGCCTTATTCAATTTCATCTTTTTAAGTGTAATCTCCACTTCAAGGTTTCTAATTCTGCCATAGAACTTATAGTCTTAGTTTTCTTTATTACTTGCTACTTCCTCCCATTTTGACCTACCTCCATGTTCCTCATTTAACAACTTTTCAAAATAGTTCTTCCACTTCTCCTTAATCTCTTCATCTTTCACCAACATCTTAGGATCTTCACCCTTGATGCACTTAACCTGATAAAAATATCTTATTTTTCTCTCTTATCGTAGCAAGTTTGTATATTATCTTCTCTCCCTTCTTATTATGTAGTCTAGTGTATAGGTCATCATAGGCTTTCAACTTAGCCTCTCTCACTACTTTTTTGACTTTCTTATTTGCCAATCTGTAGCTCTTAAGGTTTTCCTCAATTCTATCCTTCTACCACTTTTTAAAGCACTCTTTTTTTATCTTTACTACCCACTTGAACCTCCTCCCTCCACCACCAAGTTTCCCTAGAGTTGTGTCCCTTGCCTTTCAACTCTCTAAGAACTTCCCCTGAGATTCTCCTCATACTATTGGGCATCGAGTTCCATATAGTGTTAGCATCATCTTCCAAGTCTCAAGTACCTTCTTTATCCATTCTATTTTTAAATATTTCTAGTTTATCTCCTTTTAGGTCCCACCATCTCGTCCTACGACGCCCACTATCCTTCCTAGCTTGGTATTGCCCTTTAAAGCATAAATCTAGTACCAAAATCCTATGTTGAGACTTCATGCTCTCTTCATGAATCACCTTATAGTCGCTGCATTTTAGAGTGTCCACTTTTCTTACTAGAAAGTAATCTATTTGGCTCCTAATTGACCCACTCTTAGAGGTTATCAAATGCTCTTCTCTCTTCTTATACATAGTATTGGCCATCACCAGATTAGAAGTCAACACAAAATCTAAAATACTGTCTCTAGTTTCATTTCTGTCACCAAAACCATACCCACCATGCACCTTCTCATAACCTAGTTTATCTATTCGTACATGGCTGTTGAAGTCTTCACCTATAACTGGGTTCTCTCTTACGGGGTATCTCCTATCTATGTTACATGGACTCGGGTACGGGTGTCGGGTGCGGGTATGTATCTAGAGGTCGGACTCATCAAATCATAAATTTAAGGATACGCAGACTCGGCAAAAAATGTCATATTTTTATATTTTTAATCTAATATGTGAGATAAAATGGTATTATATTTAACTTATAGTGTCAAAATGACATTTATAGCAATTCTATAACAATATATACATATAATAATAGTGTTATATACAATTATATAAGAAGTATCTGTTGAAAAGTATCCGATACATATCCCATACCCTTGTCCGAGTGTCGGGTGTCCGACACGGGTATTTGATTTAATTTGAAGAGTCCATGTAACATAGTCTCCTATAATATCTGATCATTTGTTTTCAAAAATCTCTCTTAGTCTAATCATCTAATCGTACTTGGGGAGCATATGCACTAATAACGTTCATTATATTCTCTCCAATAACTAATTAACTAACATAATCTTATCACCTTTCCTAATGGCCGCAATTACATTTTCTACAAGACCCTTGGCAACTATTATTCTTACCCCATTCCGATGTTTATCTTTGTCACTATAATATAGTTTAAAACCGGTATCCTCTATTTCCCTAACTTTCTCACACATCCACTTAGTTTCTTGTACGCAAGCTATACTAGCTCTCCTCCTAATCATAACATCTACCAATTCCATTGTCTTACTAGTTAAAGTTCCTATATTCCATGTGGCTACCCTAAACCTATAGTCTTGAACTAGTTTCTTTATAAACCTTTACCCATTTTCACCGCACCTAGGCATCGATATGCAGCGCCCCTTGCTCACTTTTTGAAACACTCGAATGCAGGCGCAACGCATCACTTAAGGGGAACGACCTAGCATTTAACCGATTCAAAGTAGGATTCATTTTCATAAGGAATTCAAGCGGTTTTTTTACGTGTTACCTTCCTCCTTTATCGGGCTTGGGACCAGCGGAGTTGTTAAACAACCCCGGCAAAGTTATATTGTATTCAACTTATGTGGAACAAAATTTAAAGAAAATTCATATTTCATGCATGCAAATAGTTTTCAGCTTGCAAACTTTTCAATTCATCTTCTAAATGGTTAAATTTATTGCCAGGGCAAAGGAAGGAATTAATGCTATAACTTTATCTATAGCTATCTTAAGGTTTAATAATTTATCTTGTGGTATTTAAAGAACAAAAGACGTAAGAAGGCAACAAGGCAGGAGGCCACAGTAAGCCCTTCAAGAAGGTGAGTTCCATGATACCTAAGAAAATCATTAAAGACCTTGGTAGATTTATTAGATAAGACTTGTGTATTTTCCTTCTCAGACCAGTGATAAACGAACACCCAGACTAATATGTATAATCTTATCCGAATCAATAATAAATTATGACAAATATTTGGGAACAGAATATAAAGGAATGGTATGAAAAATCAGATACATCACGCCTAAGCTATCTTGATTTAGCCCATACTGAAAAACCCAGTACTAAAGAACTAGCTCATAATATTGCTGTCATATATGATCGTGTCTGTCTCTCCAGTAAAGTCAACCTGAAGGAATTTAAAAATCAACAAATTCAAATTCAGCTCTTAGAAACCTCTGTTCAACAGCTTGTCAAGAAAGTCGAAAGATTAGAAAAAGGAGTGAACTCTTTGACACAGGTCTGCCTGGAAAACCAGTCTTGGAATCAACAAGCAAAGTTCAGATCAATAGAAGAAACTCTTCAACAGCTCAAAAGAGCGTTGGTTGAATGAGTCAAAACGACTTGGTGTATTTAGAAGCTCTCAAAGCATCTGAAACAACTGAAGCACCAGGAATTGGTTTATCAACTTCTTCTGATAAATTGTCTGTTCCATCAGGAGTAAAAACCCTAATCCGTCAAAATAATACAATTATTGAACTTTGTGTCAAGTTGTCAAAACAGGTAGAATCCCTTGAAGGCCAAGATTCCGTGCTCTCGGAAAGCTCAATTCACCAATAGCAACTGAACGATCTTGTTTGCAAACATCAAGAAATCTCTCCACCTAGGTGCAAAGGAGAAGCCGAAGGAAGCAAAAGGACTCCTTAGAGTTCATCGTGATCCAAACAAGTTGCTGCAAGATGAGCTTGACAAACTCAGGCTTAAAAATTCATAATGGCCTCAACCTCAAGAACTCGGACGGTAACTTTACCACGAGTGACCAACCACCCTCAACAGCCAACTACTGCTGTATCTCGCAATTTACCTGGCGGAAGCTTCAGCCTGCGATTTGGTGATTATGTAGCCGCCCAGCGTGCAGATCCAGTTCAATATGATCAGAATGACAATGAAATAATGGATTCTGAAGATGATACAAACTCTATTCAGAATGAAGCTCGCAATCGGCAAGAAACACTTTTGTTCTTTGAAGAACAACCATCAGTTTTCAAAGAAACTCTTGACCAGGCCAGTGCTCGCTACACAGCTTTTCAACAGCGACAAACGGAACGTGGTGAAATGGTGGTGCCAAGACCACAGCCGGAATCTGAATCTGAATCATCACAACCGCAATCTCGAAGGACCAGAAAGAAGAAAGGCAAGAAGCAGGACAGAATTTGCCGAACATGTTACCCCATGAGCGAGTATGAAGAAATTGATGCTGTTCAATTTATCAGACTATTACCACAGGCAACTAGGCCAACTCGAGCAACTGATGGAGCTGTTGGTTATGATTTAACATCAATAGCCATGTATATAATCCCAGCCCAAGGAAGAATGCTAATCTCCACCGGCATAGCCTTGGAGATACCTTATGGCCTTTATGGAAGACTTGCCCCTCGATCTGGACTTGCTCTAATACATGGAATCGATGTTGGAGCAGGAGTCATTGATCCTGATTATAGAGGAGAAGTTAAGGTACTCCTTTTTAATCATAATCAGGAGGAATTCATAGTTCGTGCTGGAGATAGAATCGCTCAGATCATCTTTGAGAAGGTTTCCTTACCAAGAATTGTGGAAAATGATGCCCAAAATCTATGCGATACACGAAGAAGCACTAAAGGATTCGGAAGCACGGGGAAGGAAAAGGCTTTGGAATATAGACCAGAGGATTCAGACTCTGACTCTACACTTAATATAATTGCTATGATGGAAGAAGAAGCGGAGACAGAGTACCCACAGATAAAGAAATTGGAGGCGTTAATTGCAAAACGACAACAACCTCATTATCTGTTATCTTCATCATCAGCAGTTACCTCTCATTATAATCTTCCACAGGATACAGTAATGGGTCCCCCAGGCTATCCACCGGCAACGGGACGAGGTCCATCTATAAATATCCCGGAAAGACCCTCATATACAGCAGGAAGGCAAAATTTCAGACGATGAGCTAACAATGAAATGTGGAATTTGCCATCTGCCATGCATCATACAGGAGCCATGTTTGTCATTCCACAGGCTCTTGGAAAATTTGATGACGCTTTTATGAGATGGGAGTCAATTACACGATCCTTTGTTGCTTCACAAGGATTTACTGATGTTCGGGACAAGCTCCTGTTTATGGAAAATCTCCTCGGAGAAACAGAGAAGCTAATATGGACGTAATGGCGAATGAGATACACTGATGAATATGCTAATCTTGTTGCCATAGGCGATGGGAATGAAGGTACACAGAATATCATTTCTCAAATGAGAACTGTGTTTACCCTGGAGGATCCTTATCAAGGTTCAACCTTAATGCAAGAAGAAGCTTATCGTGATCTTGAAAGACTGTCATGTAGAGATGTGAAGGATATCATAAAGTTCCTGAATGATTATCTTCATCTTGCTACAAAGTCAGGAAGGTTATTCATAGGAGAAGAGCTATCTTCTAAGCTATGGTCAAAAATGCCCGGTACCTTGGTGAACGGATCAAGAAAGAATTTGCAGAGCGACATGGAGCAAACACAATTGGCGTCGTTCCTCGAATTCTTTATGCTTATAAGTACCTAGAAGCTGAATGCAAGAATGCGGCATTCCAGAAGTCACTCCGGAATCTGGACTTCTGCAGGGAAATCCCTATCCCTGGGTACTACAAGGAACCAGAGAAGAAGTACGGAATTCGAAAAGCTACCACCTATAAAGGGAAGCCACATAGTTCTCATGTCCGAATCGATAAGAGAAAGTATTTGCAAAAATCCAAACATTGTAAATGCTATTTATGTGGAGAAGAAGGACATTATGCAAGAGATTGCACAAAGGAGAAGAAAAATGTCAAAAGGGTGGCTTTGTTCGAAAATCTGGGTATCCCTGACGATTATGATGTTATGTCTGTTCAACCAGGGGATGATGACTCAGATGCAATATATTCAGTATCGGAAGGATTTGATGATACTGAACACATTGGCGGAGGTCTTATGGAGACAATCTATATGTTCCGAGAAGACGATAAACAGTATTGGCTCGGAAAAGCAGGAGGATACAAGGCACAAATTAAAGTCGCACCGGAAATCTACCATTGTCAGCATGAATGGTAAAACAAAGAACTATATAGAAATTTTACAGACCTGAAAAGCTGAGACTACAAGCGCAAACTGAATTACAAGCGGAAGACTGATTACTCAAGTATACAAGTGTAGTTGTTCTAACTTCTCTTGATGCTTGAGTTCCTAAATTTCGACTCAATTTATAGACTCATAAGGGATAAGCTTAATAAAGGTAGGGGATACGTGCCGAGTGCTCATTGGGCCTCATCGTCGCACTATCGCAAACCTTATCAAGAATCTTATCATTACAGGACTGAATAGAAAATATCTTACATACGACAAACTAATATTCCAACAGCTTTTCTCAGTGGTCGACTGAGTAGTGATTGAAGTGGAATATTATTACATTATTGACAGACGCATACAAACACACGGGGACCCACCACGTTCTTCCTATCCTTCAAGCATTATTGATCAGCATTATTGACAGACACTGTTGATCAATAATGGGTTCGAGCTTATCAGTAACGGAATAACCTCATCAGCATGACGACATCGAATAACTCGTTGTCAATCTTCTTCAGTTCACATGTCTGTTGATGAACTTCGGGTAGCTTATCTCCGTACTGATTGTCGTTAGTGGCAGCTCTGGCAATGGCTTCCAACTTGAGTTGCTGAATTTTGAGGAGTTGCTGTAGAGCTGTTCTGGCTTGTTCAATGGCATCATCTTCTTCATTGGAGAGTTGTTCTTGGATTTCTGCCATTTCTTCAAATGTGATTCCGGAGTCATAAGTGAATCGATCTTCAATCTGTTGGAGAAGAGATTGGTACTGTACAGCATGGGGATGAAACTGTGGATCAATCCAACGGCTTGATGGTCAGTTTCAGCGAGGATGATTCTTTCTTCTCTTCGCAGCAGTGGATAAGTTCTTCTATTTGCTGTAGGCCGACTAGAACCTCCATATCTTCCGGCACCACCTCTGTTGGCCATTCTGTAAATGAAAACAGTGAATATACAAGCCTTGAAAGGGCATCAGCTAGAGTATTATAGAACCATTAATATGTTCTAAAGATACATCTATGCCTAGGCCAGTAATGTAGTCTGTAAAGGCTATCCATCTAGACCGTGAGGTTTATGGTCCACTGTTTGTTGAAGAAACTGATTATAGCTTCACAGTTCTCAGAGTTAGCTGCTGTTTATCAAGATAATATATCTTGAATGATTCCAAGGAATTCATGCACGCTATATTCAGCATCAATTGTTGATTTGATGGATTGAACTTCCCACTGGGTATGCGCAGATCTTTTTCAGTTGATCGAGGGATCATTTCACAGCTGAGCTTTCACTTGCAAGATCCTCCCCACACCTTCCATACATCCGTCAGTTTCAAGGCATAATGGCGCATTGTAAGGAGGAATTTGAATAGATTGTGCAGCTTCGGTTTTTAGGCTTTATCTTGTGGATCAAATCCAGTCTTGAGCATTGCAGCCTCTTTTTCACCATTGGCTGACCTTTGAATTAGAGTGCTTAACATTCGGCCCCAAATCCTTGATGTAATTTCTTGCATAGTTAAGGAGGCCCAACCAAGAGCGTAATGCCTTAGTTCTTTAGAGTGTCATCTGGGACTGGGCTACCTTTGTAACAATGTGGGGTTGCAACTTTATTTCCCTTGCCCAATATGTTAGCCCAAGAAAATTCCATCTGAACAGCTGCGATCTTTATTTTGTGGGCCAGGATTAGCCCCATTCTTCTTACAAAATTTCAAAGCATGGACTGGATATGCTTTGCATGTGATTTCTCATCAGGAGAGAAGACCAAAATATCAATCAATTGTAGACTGAAATAGTCTTCAGTTCCTTGAAACATTAAGTTCCATCTTTCTTTGAAAAACTGCTCTGCGAGCATTCTTTAGTCCGAATGGCATGACCAACCATTCGTATAATCCAAGGGGTGTGTCCAGAATAGCTGTCCATTCAATTTAGAATCAGGATGCATGGCAATCCTTGAATGAAATCCACTTTTCAAGTCAAAACTTGGAGTAAATAACTACTTATGACCAATCCTTTGCCATTATAAGTATTCTATACCAGGCAGACTATATTTGATCCTTATGGGTGTTATCATTCAGTCTTTTGTAGTTGCACACCATTCTTTCTTTGCCACCTGTTCTTCCTTTGTGACCAGGGGAATCAATGTATGTACCAGGAATTCACAATGAATGCAGTGCGTACCGGATCGACTTTTACTTGGCCTGATTTTACTTTAAGCTGAAGAATGGCTTGTTCAATGTTTTGGCTTTCCAAAACCTCTCCTTCATTGTGGAGTTACATGCTTCATTGGCCAATGTCGTTGATTATGACAATCAGGCATTCTTCAGGTCAGCTTGCAAAGTAATCTGATTTAAGCTGACCAATATTTCATAGGATCATCCGCCTATGATGCCCATTAGTTTTGAGCTGCTTCATTTATTGATGACGAATTTCTGCCAAAAATGAGGACTGGATTTTGAGTGCGAATGAAATATCCATTCAGCTTGTAGGTATCATTAAAATTAGTGGTCACTGTCAAATCATTCTTCCTCTTCAAGTCCCTGTCCCAGAAGATTTACTGATCTGTCGCGGAGTCTGAATTGTTATACATCTTCTTGCTTAGAATGTGTAACATTATGCCTGCTATTCTGAACTCCTCCGTACATGCTCGGATTAAAATTGCCATCGATAATCAATCTGGATTCGGCCTCCAAGGGTGGAATGGGAAACTATATGAGTAGGGGGATTCTGAACCAATATCCCCTGATGGACATTTTTCCACCTTTTCAACTTCTTTAATCTGCCCTTTGATCGAGTATTCAAAACCATTGATTCCAACCGGTATATGAATTTTCTTCCAAGCAAATCAGCTGGGACT